TTTAATAAACTAGTTAATTAGCAGCGTTAGCGTTTAGCTAAAAAAAAGCAACCAGAAAATTGGCAAAGTTATTGCTGCTATTTCCCAAATGCAGGGATCAGGAGGACCAATGTAGACAGATACTGTATGTTACAGCTGTCCTTTTCACTGTGCTGTTATGTGAAACTACAATTCCCATCATGATATGGGAATTGTAGTGAATGGGCGTGGAGGGTGGACCACAGTTTGAAAAAGTCAAACTGTGGCCCACCTTTCCTATCTCTTTTCACGAATGGAGAGGTGATTTGGAAAGGGGGTGAACCATTCCTCAATCCTTTCACCTGAAATCATAATTTACATAATATAGCTCCTTGTGGTTTAGAACTTTATGAGCAGTAAAGCAGTGTTAAATCTATTCCAATCCACTCAACTATGGTTATATATTTTTTTTATTTATTTAGCATATAAATGTAAATACTTACAGTATTAGATGTGGAGTAAATGTAAATTGCTGTAATATTTCCTAAGGTGTTTGATTTACTTTTTCAACTACAGGAGAAAACTAGCAGCTGGAACCTAATTAGTTATTATGGGTAAAGCTGAACATAGATATTAAATGGTAATCAGATGTCTGGGCACCATCCAGCTATCTTTTTTTTTAAACCATCATGCTTCAGAAACCCCAGCGATTTTTCCTGAGAAATTGGTCAGTGTTGTTAACTGTATTGACTCAAAACATCAATCCTCCTGCACTTGGGAGTGGGTCCAGAAGAGACAACTGGCTACGATCTCATTCTTCTTGGCTTGAATGCCACACGCCTTCCTGCCCTCTTAAGACTGGGGTAGTCTAAAACACTGTAACCATAAAGCAAGACAGAGGTTGTAACGCACTAGTGCATTATTCTTAAAACATGTATCTATTGTTAAAATGATAAGTATTATACTCACAAAACAGCAGTTTTCACAAGTTCATCAAATAAACATAGTACCATCAAATCCACGATACATTGTGTCACCCCACAAGGCAGATAAAACCTCCAACGGCTAATGCGTTTCAAGGACTTTCCTCTTCCTCATAGACTTTGCAATAACTGTATTCTCTTAGACAGCCATAAATGGATTGAATCTCAGACAGTGAAGCAGAGATCGACCGAGATTCAATCCATCTATGGGAAATCTGGTTTGCTGAAATCAATACAACCAGCCTGTCAGATTTTTTTTCATGCGATAACTGCCAATGGCTATAGCCACTAGCAGTAATCATTGTGTTCTGCCACTAGGGAAGGCTCCCGGTTGGCATGACAATAGCACTGCGGGAGGGATTCCCCCATCGACACTAACTGTGTTGATGGGGGAATGGAGCAATTTTCTTTCTTGCAACCTATGGTTGCAAAGGCAATCTCATTATCTATGGCTTACCTTAGTTTCCTTGATCACTAGGATCATCACCCAGTCCATCCAAGATCAGCTGTATGGTGACAATAATCTTATGTTTATACATACTTTATCCTCTCTATTTTCTTTAGTGCGTTTCTATATACGGGTAATGCAAACCCTTAGAACCACTTTAAAGTAAAGCTGTTGTGCTAGAAATATTGTACATACAGTAGGTCACCTTTGCTGACTTTTCCTGCTAGCTGCCTGGTTAACCCAAGGGCTTCAGTACATTCTAAGTCACTGACTCAGATTAAGGATGCAGATCAGAAGTTCCTACTTTATATTGACTCTTATGACTGCATACGTATGCCAGATCCATGACTCAGTATTGATGCAAAATAAGCCAGGCAACTAGGATTTTGAGAAGGAGATCAGCAATGGCAGCCCACATATATTTTCAGTAGACATCTCCCTTTAAGAATTGTCATATAACTACAAAATACATGTAAAAAAATAACTGTACGCCAAGCTGCACAAGCTGATTTATGTGTTTACCTGTTATTTTTATTGAATAAATAATAAGTATTTTGTTTTCTTAATATCCCAGTTTTGGAACTGCATAATGTTTAAATCAAAGTATAGCAATATGTGGTGTACACAACAGAAGAAAAAGTTAGCGGAGAGAGAGCTGTCCCTGGCCCAATCCTGCCTTCTCTCCTGTGAGTGAATAACACCAAGCTCTGGGCTTTGGAGCTGCTTTCTGTTCCTTCAGTTACAATAAATTGATTTTGTTTAAATTGTAGGAAAGTGGCATTTACTTATTTTTACAAAGCGTTGTAATTTATAATTTATATAAAGCTGCTTTGCTTTGTCATTAATAATATGGATTTCTGCAACAAAGCTGTGATACATGCTACTTAGCTAAATCAGTTTGGGAAGAGAAACATCAGCCAAAAAAGAAAGCTCTTAGAAATCCTTGGGATCCCTGGGATTCAGGGGCGGACTGACCATTTGGAAACTCGGGCACTGCCCGAGGGCCCGGGGTCAGTAGGGGGCACCATGAGATACCCCTGGTACCTTTTTTCATAGGCTTTTTTGAGTTTGGTCAAGGACACAGGGGCCCCATGATCCCCTATTTCCCGAGGGCCCCATGAGTTGTCAGTCCGCCCCTGCTGGGATTATTGGAAATTTTTGGGCTTATTTAAAGCTGAGGTCCAGGAAGATGTTAAAAATCATCAGTGGATGCATGTGCATGTTTGTGTTTTAAAAAAAGAAAATCAGCCTATTCATGTTAAATGCAACAAGCAGGTATACCTACATTTGACCTAATGTCATTGCAATCCCCTGTACAGAAGCAACGGGAAAGGACAGAGGCTGTACTTTGAGTCAATCAGACGTGCGGCATTCATACTTGTTGGTAGGAGGAGAGGTCAGAGAGATGACCTAATCAACCAGCTGTTGCTCCTTCATTGTCCAATCACAGATCAGGAACTCCCATAACAGCTCCCATATAGTGTATGTAATTTAAATGCGTGTTTAGCTGTTTGCCTGGAGTTACATTTTTAATTATTTAAAATACTCTTGCTTTTACTTTTAAGGCTGTTTTAAAGGACCCCCTATATGGGCTATGTCACCATTCAGTACAACACCACTGAAGATTGTGGTCAGTGTACTGGCAAACACTGAAGGCAAGCCTTTCTGTTATGGAAGCACTGCTTTGCTCATAGTCCAGTCTAGATTATTGGCAAATAATTTACTTCAACCCATTTAGTTGTGAGCTGGCTGAGAGAACACCATTTAACTCCTTCGTTCTTGCACAGAAACTCATAATCTGAATGTGATTGATGGAACCTGTAGTCAGGGTTGTAATTAGAAAATAAGGGCCCTGTACAGCCTACCTGACAGGGCCCCCTCAGTCAACTCCACATTGAAGAGTGTGATGCCATATGCAGGGGCGGACTGACAACTCATGGGGCCCCCGAGCAATAGGGGATCATGGGGCCCCTGTGTCCTTGCCCAAACTCAAAAAAGCCTATGAAAAAGGTACCAGGGGTATCTCATGGGGCCCCCTACTGACCCCGGGCAGTCAGTCCGCCCCTGGCCATATGCAGTTCCTGGAAATATCATGTTCCATAAATCACCAGTGATTGTTCTGTCAAACTTCATTAGTACCAGATAGTGTTTCTAGTATTGTGAATACCGTGAGATACCCTTGGATAAGGGAACAAAAAATGGCATGCTTAGCCCACCATGCCAAATGTGTGAGCAAATGTACTAACAGTGAAAGGGTTTTAAAGGGGTATAATTAAATAAAACCTGAGCTTGACAGTGTGAAACTGCCCTTAGTGACATTGAAGTCAAGTTTTGGATGCTTACCATGCTCTAAAGAGAACCAGTTGTTTTGTCTGCAAACACACAAGAAAAGGTTCACATTAACTGCTCTCACAAGTCTATGTAAACTAACCCATGGGGTTACCTGAATCATTGAAACCATTAATAAAGTGAAATAAAGTAATAAAGGAGGACAGAAGCTGGGATAGCAGAAATTACATAGTATGCACACAAGCAGGGCAATTGCCAGATTTACTATCTTGGCTGCCATGACTATTCCTTTCCTGGTCCATACATAGGCTTTGACCTAGCTGGAGTAGATGGCACTCCACATGGGTCTGGGGTTAGATATGCTCGCAGGTGTTAATAGAGCAGTGTGTGAGGTGTCTATGGGTGGGCTGAGAACAGATGTGGATATAGTGGACATGTAAGCAAAGAGGAGGATGTCTGTCTGTTTGCTGGACTGCACTTCTCATGTTTGCTGCGCAGCATGGAGATTACTCTGTCCTAATAAGGACTCACATGGCATGGGAAAGGGGGTAACAAAGAGGCAGTGGGCCCACAAGCAGTATCTGCTGGGCCTGGGGCCTCCCTGCTGGTCAGGAACCTGGAGAACTGCCTGTACCCTGCTATTGGTGGTCTTGCTTTTAGTGACAGCACATGATCCCATGCCTGCAATGACCAGATAAGGGCCGTTCTGCCTTGAAACAGAGTACAGTATTATGGGACAAACTTTTTTTTTTTTTCACAGTTTATGAACATTTACGTTCATTTTTTATATTTTTTTATGAAACTACCACACACATAACCAGATGTTTGTTTATCTAGTAAATTATACTATAAGGCCTGAATTGCTCTATAGTAATATGATGGGCGCAAGGTGGTTCTCTCGTTCTGGGAGGACGTCCTACGTGGCGATCGGGTGTGCGCTTTGTCCCTCGGACACAGTGGATCATGGATCACGGAAAGAGCTGAAGATGTCGGCTCGGTCATGTGATCAGCTGTGTCCAATCACAGCTGATCACATGTAAACAGGGAAATGCCAGTTATCTGAATTTTTCTCTCCCCACGAGCTGTCATGCTGGCAGCTTGTGAGGAGAGGAAAGCAGGTAATCGGCATTACTCGAAGGGGACATGTACACAGATCATCAGAGCACTGATGATCAGTGTGCCCTGATGATCTGTGTAGCCCCAGCAGCGCCACCTGCCAATGCCCATCAGTGCCAGCACTCAGTGCTCATCCATGCCACCTGCCAATGCCCATCAGTGCCAGTACTCAGTGCTCATCCATGCCACCTGCCAGTGCCCATCAGTGCCACATCAGTGCCACATTTAAGTGCCCATCAGTGTCACATCAATGCCACATAATAGTGCCCATCTGAGCTGCCTTTCAGTGTCACCCATCAGTGCCAGTCAATGCCACCTATAAATGCCAGTCAGTGCCACCTATCAGTGCCAGTAAGTGCCGCCTATCAGTGCCAGTCAGTGCCGTCTATTAGTGTGCATCAGTGCTGCCTATCAGTGCCACCTAACAGTGCCAGTCAGTGCTGCCTATTAGTGCCAGTCAGTGCCACCTATCAGTGCCATATGTGAGTGCTGCTTTTCAGTGCCCATCAGTGATGCCTGTCAATGCCCATCAGTGCCACTTACCAGTGCCTCCTCATCAGTGCCCATCAGTGCCGCCTATCAGTGTCCATCAGTGCAGCCTATCAGTGCCCATCAGTGCAGCCTGATTAGCACACATCAGTGAAGGAGAAAAATCACTTATTTACAAAATTGTATAACAAAAACTAAGAAAAAACTTTTTTTTTTTACATTTTCAGTGGTTTTCGGTTTGTTTAAGAAAAAATAAAAAACCCAGAGGTAATTAAAAACCACCAAAATAAAGCTCTATCTGTCACACAAAAATTATAAAAAATTCATATGGGTACAGTGTTGCATGACTGCGCAATTGTTATTCAAATGCAACAGCGCAAAAAGCTGGAAATTGGCCTGGGCAGGAAGGGGGTATAAGTGCCCTGTAGGCTAGTGGTTAATACCTATTTCCTAGCTGTAAACTTTTTTCATTATTCTGAACATTCTTTGGATCGCCAAGTGACTCTCATGCAATAAAGCTTTCACCAGTTTTTTTAGCTTACAATTAATTCTGTACATGACACTCCTCTGCCACCTTATGCACACTTAATTCTGCCTTGAGCTCAGTTCCTGACTAAGGAATTTCCCAACTGTCCCCCAGTGATGGAAACATGAGCTTTTCAGAACTTTTATTCATGTATTTTAAGAGACTGAATGGCCAATTTGCTTTAGGTCTTGAAGAAACTGAAGGACTAATCTGCTTCAGCTCTGCATCTTTTATCATTACAGCAACCAATGAAAACCACTGTTATCCAGAGTTGAAATGTCATCTGATATACACCAGTAGGGACAATAGAACTGAAGAAATGAAATATGTAGCACAAAAATATGTTTAAATATTTCAAGTGAGGTTTTTTTTTTACAACTCACTGGGAAATAAATTAATGGTACTATTTCTCCATAAATGTAACTAATCTCACCTTAAATTGTTTAAAGATGAAGTACAACCAAAGCTCTTTTGGCTGTATTTCTGTGGATCACAGGAGTGTACTTTGTTCTGCACTCCAGTGGCCTGTTTTCAGCTGACAGTGGTCATGTTCTCACACTTAGAGCTGGCGGGGGACAGATGCAGCATCGGACTGATGCTGCATCCACCAAGGTAAGGATAATTTTTGAAAAAAAAAAACATAAATCCATACTTCTCTTTTAAAGTTTTAAATAGTTTAAAGTCTTTAAATAGTTTAAAGCTTCCTAATCTCTGCAGTATTGATGCATTTATGGTACTCACTATAAATAATCTTTTCTTTTTTTCCCTTTAATTTCTTCTAAATAGCAGTGGGCAGCCCAACATGCCAGTGATTATGACCATTCATTGAACATTCTCTTCCTTCTTGACAAGAAGTTGCACAGTTAGGGAGCAGAGAAAAAAATAACTTGATTACTAAAGTGATATTATCTCTTACAAAATACTGATTAATTAATCTTAACACTGACTTTTACAGCTTTATAACATCTCAAACTACTGGAAAGGGCAATGTTTTTTAACCACTTGCTCTCCATAGGATTTATCCCCCTTCCTGACCAGGCCATTTTTTGTGGTACAATGCTGTGTTACTTTAACTGACAATTGTGCAGTCATGCAACGCTGCACCCAAATTAAATTTAGATAGTTACATAGTTAGTCTGGCTGAAAACAGACAAAAGTTCATCCAGTTCAACCATTAGAAAAAAAAAGTTATAATCCTACACCCACAGTTGATCCAGAGGAAGGCAAAAAAAAAACTAGCAAAGCATGATCCAATTTGCTCCTGCAGGGAAAAAAATTCCTTCCTGATCCCATGAGAGGCAATCAGATATTCCCTGGATCAACTTTACCTATAAATGTTAGTAACCAGTTATATTCTGTATATATCTCTCTCCAATATGCTACCCCTTAACATAAAACACCAAATGTGAAAATAGTCATAAATATAATTTCACAAAATTATCCAAAAATTAAGCAATTAGTGTCCAAAATAAAGTCAATTCTGATACTGAACAAAAATTACGCACTCGTGTCCCAAAATTACAGTCATATAAATAGTGATTCCAAAATAAATCCTGGTAAATGAGCTTTCCAGCCGGCTCCAACGAACAATGTGAACCTCAAAAAAAAGAAAAATTTACATAGTGTGTTATCCTTATACAAACCAGCAAATACAGTACACTGTGTAAAAAAAACATGTGACCACTTAAGTGAAAAAGTGAACTTGTGTATCAACCATGATGGTGAATCACTCTCAGTGCAAAAACAGCAAGTGTCAGTGACCTATTATGTAAGGAATAAATACCCTTACCAATATGACTTAATATTCAGGCATTAATACCACCAGAGCATAGTATATAAATTCCAAAGACCGCCTTCCTGAGATAAGATCTTTAAGATGTCATCACAGACTCTTAGATGTCATCCGGGCTGTTTAGCTTGAGTACTCCATACTCCTCATGATACCCATGCAGGAAAAAATTTACCCCATTTAGGGTGGTCAAATAACGCTTTGTAATCATGAATATTGACAACCAGGAAAGGCTCTCCTGGATCAGACCTACTGGTCTCCTAGTATGAGATATGGATCCAGGGAATCAAAGATAACTGCCCCCAGTTGGATGATCACAAGACTCTGGGTACATTGAACAGGAGATGGATTCACAATCCCAGGCTCTCCTCAAAATAAAGGTGATGCTCAGGGGCGGACTGACCATTTGGAAACTCAGGCACTGCCCGAGGGCCCGGAGTCAGTAGGGGGCCCCATGAGATGTCCCTGGTACCTTTTTTATAGGCTTTTTTGAGTTTGGGCAAGGACACAGGGGCCCCATAATCCCTTATTGCCCGGGGGCCCAATGAGTTGTCAGTCCGCCCCTGGTGATGCTCCAAGCAGAAACTGATTTTTCTTCTTTTCTGTCCTTGGATTCCAGCTGCATGCGGGCAACATACATTATTGTTTCGACATTCAGTCACTTAGGAGCCACAATATTTCAAATATTCAGTCTCATATGAAATTCCCAGGCTCCAAATTAGCTATTGTCTTGGTCTCTGCTGGACAGCCTGCTTCTGGCTTTTATTCTGTGTATCTAAGAAAGAATCCAGGTCTTTTTTAAAGCAATCCACTGAGCTGGCCAGAACCAACTCTTGAGGGAGTTTATTTCACATTTTCACAGCTCTTAATGTGAAGAAACCTTTCTGTGTTTGGAGAATAAATTTATTTTTCTCCAGACATAAAGAGTGCCCCCTTGTCCTTTGTGATGACCTCCGGGTGATTAGCTCTACACCGAGTTCACTATATGAACCACTGATGTATTTATACATGTTGATCATATCCCCCCTTAATCTCCTCTTCTCAAGAGAGAATACATTCAGTTCCTCTAATCTTTCCTCATAGCTGAGCTCCTCCATACCTCTTATCAGTTTGGTTGCCCTTCTCTGTACTTTCTCCAGTTCCCCAATGTTCTTTTCGTGAATTGGTGCCCAAAATTGAACTGCATATTCCAGATGAGGTGTTACTAATGATTTGTACAGGGGTAGAATGATATCTCTCTCTGGAGTGTACACCTTTTTTAATACAAGAGAGGATTTTGCTCGCTTTAGAAAATGAAGCTTGGCATTGCATGCCATTATTAAGCTTGTGATCTACCAGAACTCCCAGATCCTTCTCCACCATTGATTCTCCCAGTTGTACTCCCCCTAGTATGTATGATGCATGCATATTCTTAGCCCCCAAGTGCATAGCCTTACATTTATCAACATTAAACCTCATTTGCCAAATAGTTGCTCAATTAAACAGTGCATTGAGGTCGGCTGGTAAGTTGAAGACATCCTGTAAGGACGTTATTCCACTGCACATCTTGGTGTCATCTGCAAACACTGAAATGGGATGTTTAATCCCAGATCCTATATCATTTATAAATATACTAAAAAGTAAGGGTCCCAACACTGAACCTTGGGGAACACCACTAATAACCCTAGACCATGCAGAGTATGAATCATTAACCACTACTCTTTGAATCTTTTAGCCAGTTTTCTACCAATTTACATATGGAATTTTCCAAGCCTGTAGATTTTACCTTACACATTAGCCATGTGTGGGGAACTGTGTCAAACGCTTTTGCAAAATCCAAGTATACCACGTTCACCGCCACCCCTCTGTTCAAGGTTTTGCTCACCTCCTCAGATTTATTTGACAACTTCTGTCTTTCATGAATCCATGCTGTCTGTTGCTTAAAATATGTTTTTCCAGCAAGAACTCATCTATGCAGTCTTTTATAAAACTCTCCAGTATTTTCCCGACTATTGAAGTTAAACTAACAGGTCTATAATTACTTGGTAAAGATTTTGACCCTTTTTTAAATACTGGCACCACATTGGCCTTACACCAATCCAGTGGTACTATGCCAGTCATTAAAGAGCCCCAAAAAAATAGAAACAATGGCTTTAAAATTACAGAGCTCAATTCTTTAAGGGCTCGTGGGTGTATGCCATCCTGTCCAGGTGCTTTATTCACCTTTATTCTGTCTAAATATTTTTGGATCATATCAGTTGTGAGCCAATGTGGATCATCTGGAGCTTTGTCAATACCATACCCATTATGGACAAGAGCTCCCCCATGCTCATTTGTATACACAGAGCTGAAGAAGGTATTTAATACATTTGCCTTCTCTTTGTCCCCAGTCACCCACTCTAAATTATTTTGTACATTTAGGGCCTACATGCTCAGACCGGACCTTTTTACTATTAATATATTTGAAGATTTTTTTGGGTTTGGTCCTGCTATCTTTTGCAGTCTGTTGTTCGTTTTCAATTTTTTTCGGCCTTTATTTCCTTTTTCCATATTCTGTTATATTCTTTGTAATGTTTAAATGATGATAGCATTTCTTCATTTTTATATTTAATAAAATCTCTTTACTTATTATCTACAGCTTTTTTAACCTTGGCCGTAAGCCACATAGGTTTGATTTTTAGCCTTTTAAACTTGTTGCCCATGGGAATATATTTTGCAGTGTGTTCACATACAGTCTTTCTGAAGAACTCCCATTTCTTTGTTGTGTTCATTGATGCCAATATTCCTTCCCAGTCTAAGTCTTGGAGAGCAGCGCTCAGCCTTGGAAAGTTAGCTCTCTTAAAATTGAGCGTTTTTATTTTTCCCATATGTGCTTGCTGTTTACAGCTAACAATAAATAATATTATGTTATGGTCACTGCTACCCAGATCTTCTTTTATATGAACATTTGTAATAAGCTCTGCATGGTTTGAGATTATCAGGTCAAGCAGAGCATCATTCCTAGTTGGGGCCTCTATGAACTGTACCATAAAATTGTCCTGTAGTAGGTTTAAAAATTTTTGCCCTTTAACTGTTCCTGCAGTACCATTGCTCCAGTCAATTTCCGGGTAGTTAAAATCTCCTATTATTGTCACTGTCCCAACCCTTGCAGCCCTTTCGATCTCTGCAAGGAGCTGAGTCTCCACCTCATCGTTAACACTGGGAGGCCTATAACAAACTCCAATGATTACCTTTTTAGTATGCACCCCCATGTGCCCCATGTGCAGTTCCACCCATAATGCTTCAACCTCATCACACTCTCCATCAACTAGGTCCTCTTTCACACTCGCTCTGAAATCACTTATCACATAGAGACAGACACCACCACACCACTATTTACCCTGTATCTCCGAAAGAGAACATAGCCAGGAATATTAATGGTCAAGTCATGTGAAGAATGAAACCAAGATTCAGCAATACCAATTAAATTATAGTTGTCTTCATGCACCAAAGCTTCCAACTGACCTATTTTGCTTGGCAGACTTCAGGAATTGGTGAACAAACACTTAACTTCATTGACACCTTGTGCACGTGTGTTTTGCATATTTTTATTTTCATACAAATGGTACCAATTCCACATAGGAACCTTCTTATCATCTGCCATATCCCTCCCCCCATCTTTCCCCATTCCACCCACCAATAAGTACTGACGCTTGTCTGCTCTGTCCACCCCATTATAATGTAACTCTCCCTCCCCCCTCGATCCTAGTTTAAATACTCCTCCAGCCTTCCCATAAACCTCTCCCCCAGCACAGCAGACCCTCTTTCATTTAGGTGCAAACCATCTCTAGCATATAGGTTGCACCCCAATGAAAAGTCAGCCCAGTGCTCTAGAAACCCAAATTCTTCCCTCTTACACCAAGTCTTTAGCCATGCATTGAGTTCTCTAATCTCCCCCCGTCTTTCCTAAGTTGCACATGGCACAGGTAATATTTCAGAGATAATAACCTTGGAGGTCCTTCCCTTCAACTTGCAGCCTAGTTCTTTAAATTGATTCTTAAGGAGCCTCCACCTTCCATCTATTCTGTTATTAGTTACAACATTGACCAAGACAGCTGAGTCATGCCCAGTCCCTTCCAGTAATTTATCAACCCTGGCCACACATTATTCTATCAGTCCTTCTGATTAAAGAATCCACTACTAACACCCCTCCCAGATGGTCTGCCCTCCCGGCTGTTAGGGATAGCAGTGACATCCAGGGCTGCCACCCCTGAGCTTGCCACCCCCACATCTTCACCCAACTTGGCAAATCTGTTTGGGTGCACAAACCCAGGCCAGCCTTCCTTTTCTGTGAGCCCCTACCACTCTCTCTGGTTATAGTAACCCATCTTCCTACCTGACAATCCTGATTAGCCCCTCCACCCTTCACATCAATCCCATTAGCTACCTATTCAGAGAGCAGAAGACCCCTTACAAGGTTGTTGGTTCTGTCCAGTGTTGCAACTTGTTCCTCCAGATTGCTAACGCATATTTCCAGAAGGGCAACCCACTCACATCTGTCGCAGTGGTATCCATCCTTGAGCTGTTGCTTCATTGTTGCATACATGCAGCACTTTGTGCACTGCACAAAACCTTCAACCCTGCTAGCACTCATATCCTAGTTACAGTATTAATAGGAAATATCAATTGTCACTTACAGGTCGGTAGACTCCTGTTTTCAACTCTGGTTTTTTAACTCCACTTATCAAATGTCCACTAAGGCAAATGTCCAGCAAGGAAAATACAGGCAAACTCAAGAATGAGCAAGCTCAGAGTGAGCTCTACAGCAGTGTTTCTCAACTCCAGTCCTCATGGACCCCCAACAGGTCATGTTTTCAGGATTTCCATTATTTTGCACAGGTGATTTGATCAGTTTCACTGCCTTAGTAATTACCACAGCTGTTTCATCTGAGGGAAATCCTGAAAACATGACCTGTTGGGGGTCCATGAGGACTGGAGTTGAGAAACACTGCTCTACAGCAAGTTATATAGGACCTGTATCACCTGTGACCAATTAACCTCTCCCCTTTATTAGCAGACTGAAGGAAGGCAAGGAAAGGAAGAAAAAAATGCTATTTAAAAAGTGATTTAAAAAAGTAAAAGCTTTTCGCAAGACCCAAAGAAAAAATAAAATAACTACAAGCACCAGCAATCACCAGCAGTCAAAAGTAAAACTTTTTGTCTCTCCACTCAAATTTCCCTCTTTTTAGCTATGAGCCAGCAAAAAACGTCAATTTTTTCCCCTCAAATAGAGCTTTCTTTCAGTGGTATTTGATCACTTGTGCGTTTTTTATTTGTGCTATAAGCAAAAAAAAAATTTTGAAAAAAACTATATTTTTGACTTTTTGCTATTAAACATGTCCCAATAAGTGTAAATTAGCTGGTGTACATGAAAGTTATAGCGTTTACAAATGGTGGTATATATACTGAATTTTTTTTTTTAATAATAATCGTGGTGATTAGCAACTTATAGCTGGACTGCGGCGGGCATTCTGACACTGGTGGGAACTGACATGGTATCACTGAAATCCCCAGTGACACCAATACAGTGATCAATGCTAATAAAAAGCACTGATACTGTACTAATGGCACTGGGCATAAAGGGGTTAACGTGGGGCGATCAAAGGGTTAACTGTGTGCTGTTTTACTATGTGGGCTGTGTGTGTGTTTCACTGTAAGCACACTGCTTTGTGCAGTGTGCAGTAGCTGACAGGGGAGAGATCTGTATTGTTATTTAAGAAGCCATGCGATAGAGAAAGTCATATTGGCAGGTCTAGACATTACCACCTACAGAAGAGTACAACGATGCAGAAAACGAAATACCTTCCCATGTGTACTTTTTTTCTCAACATCTATATACTGTAACTATGTGATACTTAGTTGCTTTTGTTTCTTATTTTTAATAAACGGTATAGGAAAAAATGCCTACTTCATATTCACAGCTCCCATCCAAGAAGTCTACAGTCAATATATTTTTATTAATGATAGATACCTGTAGTTTCTAAATGTAGCCATACATGGGTTAAAAATTTTATAAGCAATGGTTTACACCTTCTCTGACAATAATTGTATTGGCATTGTATTGTACAATGATCACTGCAAATTTTTGAGACCTGAGATATATTATTGAATCTTGATTAGAGAGTATAGAAAACACAATCATATCAGGGCCACATCAGTGCATGTGTGAGACTATTGTATTGTTGCTTGTATTGCTGAACTCTTATACTCCAGGCTGGATGTTCTTTACTGAAACATAGGTAAACACACATTTTGGCACCATTAGAAACACCCCCTCTACTTGGATCAGTTCATGTACACAAAATGTTTCATTGTTTTCATGGTCCTAATCTGGCTTAGAGTATTGTAATAATATGTAAACCACCATTTATGAGATGACTGTTCTAATAAGGAAGAAAAAAGAATTGAGGCCAATAACTATACAAGAAAAGCATCCTGTTTGCTTTGTTGCCTCTTGGCAAGTGTCTACTTTGCCTAATGGTAAATCTTGCCCATATATGAAGTCTATGGGCATCAATATAAATGATCAAACCTTTTTCATATTAGGCTGTCCATAAGTAAGGTGTAGAAATCTACATCAGCCTGATCCACTGCAGAGTTGGCAAATAAACAGGACAAGTCTAAAGTTATACCAATTAATAAATAACTCTAATTTACTTCTAACAATAAACTTTCCTTCTGTTCATTAATACAAATTCATTTAATCTCCAGGAATCTTTGTTTCAGTTATCTCAAACAGTTACAACACAAACTGTGAAAAAAATGAGCCATGCCAATGTAATAAATCAAGAACAAAAAAGAAACATAGATTATGTAAGCAGCGTGACACTTGTCTCATCTGCGATATTTCTCGGGACAATTTCTTATTTAAAGACTGTCAAAGGCCCACTCTGTTATTATTTTCATAGAACAAAAGGCTCTTAGAAATCAAACCTAGTTTTTATTTCCTTTACTCTGTGTTCTGGAAGGATGTCATTGTTCTATGTCTAATTGGATCGCAAGATGCATTATTAAAAGGCATATGCCTTTGTGAACGGGGTGAAGGCATATTCAGAGTGAAGCTCAGCGGCTCTTGTCGCCTTTTGAGAAGTGCTACAGAAGGAGTCGGCTGTATGAATTCTCCCAAACAGATGCTTATGCTGTAATTTCAGACCTTACTTCTGAGGCTTTTCATCGCAGGACTGCACAGAACAATATGTTCTATGGATCTGATTTATTATTTTTGTAGCCATAGGGCTATACCTCTAATAAGTCAACATATGAACTTTCCTGACAGCCTCAAAGTATACAAGGGTTATTATTTTCTGAAAACTAGTGCTGGCTTTAATTGAATCTAGAGATAAAACAGGAGGCAGACATATGGCGGTATCAGCCGAATTCTGGGCACATAATTACTGACCAGCATGTTTTCCTATTGATATGCCATAACCATTTATTACAGTGAGAATCCACAGACATTTCAATGTGTTTGTTCAACATTCTGAACACTCTAGATGAGTACTGAACAGAATAAGAAACACAGGAGTATATTCGGCATGGTGGGAACTCTGGATTGTGTGCTATCAAATATAAACAGGGGTGAAGACTCTTCTGTCCCAAAGGTAACATGAAAAGGAGAGCTTCAAACATTCCTTCATTATTACTAACTTCCATATACAGCTGTTAAATAGCTTGCACAATGCAACACTCCTTTAGCCAATAAAATGTCTTCCAGCTCAGTTGTGGACATAGTCAGCAAAGGGATCATGTGCAAGCACAACTTTTACACTCTGCTTAATTGTAAAAAACACATTAACTGCACATAGAAAGATGCAGACAAAGGGTAGCCTTTGTGACTAACTCTCTCATCTTTTATAATGTGCAAATGAGGTCTTATATAAAGCATTCCCTTCATTCCTTGCCCAAGCGGAAACATGTTTCAATAGCAGAATTCTTCTTCATGTCTCAATGCCTGTTAAACAGGAAGTGCTGGAGGTGCTCTCTACCCAACATCTCCTGGATATTACAAACTGGGGAAAGGTTTAGGCTTCATGAAGAATATCTACTACTTTTAACTTGCCCTATATGTAAGCAGTGCCCAGGTCAAAGTGCCAGCAGAAATTGCCCCTTGTGCGACTTCACAGTCTACCAAAATAAAATACTTTGTGTACCCATAATCCATGTAATAAAATAGTGACATACACTGGCTGGCCACTTTATTAGGTACACCTTGCTAGTACCAAGAAAATATCAGCCACACCATTACACCACCACCACCAACCTGAACCATTGATACAGGAGGCAGGATGGGCCCATGCTTTCATGTTGCTTATGCCAAATTCTGACCCTACGAATTTACCCAGTCTCCTCTGATCTCTGACATCAACAAGGCATTTTCATGCACACAACTGTTGCTCACTGGATATTTTCTCTATTTCAGACCATTTTCTGTAAACCCTAGAGATGGTTGTGCGTGAAAATTCCATTAGATCAGCAGTTGTTGAAATACTCAGACCAGCCCACCTGGCACCAACAACCATGCTATTTTCAAAGTCACCTAAATTCCCTTTCTTCTCCATTCTGATGCTCGGTTGTACTTCAGCAAGTTGTCCTAACCACGTCTACATGCCTAAACGCATTAATCTGTCGCCATGTGATTGCCTGATTAGCAATTTGTGTTACTAAGCAATTGAACAGGTGTGCCGAATAAAGTGGTCGGTCAGTGTATGAACTGTTCCTTCCACTGTTTTTCAGGAGTCAGAATCAGTCAAAACACTCCCTCCATATATATGTTGTGAGGACTCGTACATCATGACATCTCAGCAAAATGGAGCAAAATGTTGATTGGGAATATGAATTGATGCAGTAATTGTATCTCCAATCTCGGTCATATAATGTTTTTTTTTTTTATGAATCACAAGATAAAGAGAAAACTTCTTAACTTAAATAGATCCATTTGGCCTTCACAATATTTATGTGTTACTCTTGCAGTTTGGAAGCAAATCACATAGTTTGATGTAAAATATGACATGAACTTCATGTTGACGCCATGTCAGCTAATGAGGTCTCTATCACAGCCTATCCTCAACACATTAGGGAATAGACCATAGTTGCTGACAGCCATGAAAAGGCAGCACCTTTCAAAGGTATATTAAAATGGCCTGGGATAGGAATGATATCAGCACAATGAACTGCATGATTTCTGCAATTAAACAATCAGACAAAAACCACTGTAAGGAAATCAACATCTGGGAAAAATAGCCAGGAACCTCAAATACAATTCCAAATTTCACATTTGTCATTATCATTCTAAACTGTTTAATGACAGAAAAAAGAAACTGTTGCAGGTCAGAAAGGATTCAATGGGATGTTTTCTTATTTTAATGTCGCCACTCATTACACCCAAGGGTCCATCTAATTGACATTTTTCTAGCTTGTTAGTATGTGGTCAATTTAAAGTGATTAAAAGGTTGTAGTTTTTCTTTTTTTTATAACAAACATGTCATACTTTCCAAAGATTTAGATGTAGGAACATTTTGCTGATTACAATGTTATTTCTTGTGCTCTAGTCAATTTTACAATTCAGTTTAGACCAGAAGGACAACAACAAACAGATCAAAAAATCTCCTTACAAACTATATGTTTGTGCAGTCACATAGTACAACCTAAGGATTGATCACTGGTGATTTGGCATTCTTTACATTTTTGTTTTCACCAATTTGGTTGCTGCCATGTTTTCCTCAGAGTGGCTCTCAGTCAAATGGCACAAGGCAAAGACCTATGCACACTATCCCAGTAACATAGAGCTGTGAGAAATCTCAATGTCACTCTTAAACAAATCACCAGCTAAAAGTTTGTGTTCTCTCAAGACCCACTGAACCTTTTTTCCTTCCTCCACATCAGAATATTGCAGTGGGGATGCATTATCAGCCAAGGAAAGTGGACAGAAGGGTAAAGGGTTTGTACAAAGTCCAATGACAATGCCATACAAAAGTGTCCAAAAATCCTTAGTTTTAATTCATAAATGACAACACAAAATATCCAATGCATTTCATAGGCTCTGAGTCCTTCCTCTTTCTAATGGTTTAAACATGTGCAGCAAATTATTTGCTTGTGATTATTTGTTTAATTTTTTTAGTCCTTATAATTATCTATTATGTTTGTGAACTAAAAACACAGCGCAAAAATTAATAAAGTAATTCATTATGCATAATAATAATATTAACAATAATAACAATAATAATAAACAAATATAAATATATGTGAAGATATAGATATAAATATAAATAAAAATATAAATGTGAAAATATAAAATATATACAAAGTCCCAAACCCATATAAATATATGTGAAAATATACAAAATGTCCAAAGTCCCAAATAAATGATGAAAAAAAATGTGGAAATGTGCTCCAATCAACAGAAAATGGTGCTAAATGAACTCCAATGTGCCCACACCATCGGTGACTTTCAAGCACAGAGGACAAGGGGGCACTCTTTATATCTGGAAGAAAAGAAATTTAATCTCCAAACACGAAAAAGTTTCTTCACATTAAGAGCTGTGAAAATGTGGAATAGACTCCCTCAAGAGTTGGTTCTCACCAGCTCAGTGGATTGCTTCAAAAAAGGCCTGGATTCTTTCTTAGATACACAGAATATAACTGGATACTAACATTTATAGGTAAAGTTGATCCAGGGAATATGCGATTGCCTCTCAGGGGATCAGGAATGGATTTGTTTCCCAGCAGGAGCAAATTGGATCATGCTTTGCTGGGGTTTTTTGCCTTCCTCTGGTTCAACTGTGAGTATAGGATTATAACATTTTTTATGGTTGAACTGGATGGACTTTTGTCTTGTTTCAGCCATACTAACTATGTAACTTCATGCTGGCCCCTTTTGCAGGTATAGCTATGTAAAACATTAAAAATAAGTGCCTATTGTTTAAAATCCAATAATACACTATCTCACCCTGCTCTGCACATGCTCAATTGACCTCTGTTTTTCAGCACTGTGCAGAAAATGTAGAGGCCGATCCCCTGACAGCCTAAATATTTACTGCTGCTCAGGCAAGAAGAAACAGAAGCAATGCTGGAAGCAATTTACAGCACACACTAATTTTGGTAGCATGATTATTAATGTGTAATCTATGTTCCTTGGTAAAGATTGATATTTCTTTATCAAGCTGTTATTTGTAAAGTTAACAAACTGCTTCAGGAAATTTTGAGGGTTTAGACACCTACTGATTACTATTGATAAATGATGCAATTACAGAAAAGGGATTGAGCAGCAGTTGACAGACAACATTGCAATAAGACACATTGGTGGGAATACCTGTCTTATTGCGCTAATATAGAAGACAGAACTGCTGATAATAATGAACAATTTGCAGACAAAAGAGGACACATTTAAGAATCTATCAGATGCAGAATTAAAAGTATATAAATAGGAATGGATGTAATATATAACCAATACAATTGTATTAGAAATATTTTAAATTGAAAACAAACCTTTGTCTCAGCCTGTCTGTTATATGTAAAATTACTGCTCAGCTATAATGGAATAAAGTAACATTATATGAAGGGATGAGCAGAAAAACATATTATGCTTTCTGTGAAATCTCAGCAAAATCCACCTGCAAATGACTCCTTTGCATTTCGCAGAGAATGACCAGAGTGCAATTTTTCATTCCTAGAAGGAACTGCTTTGTAATCAATTTGCAACTTTGAAAAAAGAGCAGGCAAATGATATGACTACTAAAGTAGCTGAACAAGGAGAGCATGTAGCTAATCAATATTTTTTGAAACAAGAGAACTCCTTTTCCTAAGACTTAGTGAATCTCGGGTCATTGTTTCCTTTTTTCTGTTTTCCCCTAATTTTATGCATTGAAGATTTAGTGCCAAAAATTCTATGCACAGATTACACTTTAACCTTGAAATTGGAATGCAAAGCCAGTGCAGTCATCTGCATACAAATGCTTACTTGTTAGTGTTTAGCAGTGTAGCTTACAGTTAATTGCCTATTGTTCTGAAGCTAAACTTTATGGAACACCCGACACAAATTAAGGTTATGGTGAATAAACAAAGTTCATTTACATTTCACATCTAGTTTTTAGGCCTTGGACAAATTGATTATTATTTAAAAACCTTTGTACTCTGTGAATTATTATTGTCAGATCAATATTAGGAGGGTACTCTCACAATTATATGAGGAATTAGTTATGCTTTCATTAGTCCAGCATGAGCAAACTATCTGTTGAATAATAAGTAGAAGGCATACTGAGTAAACAATGTTGGTAAAGAAGAGTGATTTTCTTAGAGGCTAACTTTCATTTTAGTTTATAAGCTTAGTGAGCAGTATCATATTATGTTGTAGAAAAAAAAAAGGGAACTAAAAACTTTTAGATGAACTCCAACATTTTAATATATATGATATTGAAGAAAAAGGTAGCAGGGTGGCCTTAGACTTCCATGGTAGAACAGATGTGCGCGCACGACATAATAAGCCTCAAGCTTCTCCATAGAAAAGAAGATAAATTTTACAGCTATGCCTAACATTTGTGTTTGTGAATAGAGGAGGGAGTAGCATCGGTGAACACTGCTAGCCTCACTTATGGGGTTAGTCCCACAATGATGGTGTCAGGTCTTCTTACATTCAGTCAGCCTGCTGCTTGTTGGATCATGTTCCAGTTTTAATATCACAATAATCATATCACTCAGCTAATTATAAACAGGCAGAACATGTACAAAAAGGTCTTTTGTTACATAATGTATTTAAAAGACACCATGACCTCCTGGATACACCAGGAATTAAAGTAGTAAAGAACTTCTTCCAGATGCTGGTCTTCAACTGACTTGATAGCTCAGTGTGGAGTGACATTACTCCCATACATATTTGTGAGTCATTCATCCTGGCACAATGCCAATGTGCCAGGATGAATGACTCCCATGTATGTCTGGGAGTGACATTACTCCACATCGACCAATCAAATCATCTGAAGACTAGCATCTGGAAGAAGCCCTAAAGACAATGTTGACATCAGAGAGGGACCCTGCTGACTTTGGACAGTTAGAACTAAGGCAAGTAATGCTGCCTTTAGTTCCACTTTAATTCCTGGTCTATCCACGAGGTGATGGTGTCTTTTAAATACATTATGTAACAAAAGGCCTTTTCGTACAAGTTCTGTCTGTTTATAATTAGTTGAGTGATGTGATTATTGTACGCAGCTCTATATACATTCTGTAGAGGATTGAGAACAAGAAAGTAAGTGTATTTTATTGCTGAAGAGACATTGCATCTTTTTCGCAAAAAAAAATGCTTTTATTTACACTTTAATACATGTGTTCCTTTTTAACCTTAAAAATTGTCTACTAAGGCAATTTCATTGGACATTAATATGGCAGTTGGCAGTGCAAACACATTAGAAAGTAAAATGGCAATCAGGTAAACTGAGATCCTAACAACAAAAAAAAACAAAAAGAGGAATAAGTCTATATAGAAAGAGTCATAATATGTACTTCTCCCCCCATCCTTGTCTAAAATCTTCACTTTCCTACAGAGCTACATTGGCCAAAGAATCTTCAGCATCCAACAATTCCTTAGATCCCTGCTTCCACCACCATGCACTATGGATCCACTAGCTGGCTGCTACACCATTACACCTTTGCAAAGACACAGTAATGACTTAGCTGCTGATGGCTGAAACCACAGCCTGAAAGAGTCAGATGTTGAAGATTCGTTGGCCAGGCTCTCTCATTCATTAGGTATGGCCAGGGGCGGACTGACCATTTGGAAACTCAGGCACTGCCCGAGGGCCCGGGGTCAGTAGGGGGCCCCATGAGATGCCCCTGGTACCTTTTTCATAGGCTTTTTTGAGTTTGGGCAAGGACACAGGGGCCCCATGATCCCCTATTGCCCGGGGGCCCCATGAGTTGTCCGTCTGACCCTGGGTATGGTAGTAGATGGAGCTTAGCCATTACTTCGAAGGATGTTAGACTCCAGTAACAAAAAATACCTACTGTATATCAGAGAGGTGCACAGAAGGGGCAACAATAATTTTCAGACTTTATAATTCCTCTTGTAACATATGTGCATTTTGAAGTAGATATTTAGCTTTTATTGAAGTTTAAATAGCAGGTTTCAAGATGGTTGAAACAAACAATCTCCTTCACTAACAGATGCAGTGTGTGCTGTATAAGCTATATGTAGCCTCAGCCACATACAGTATACAGAGCTGTCTTCAGGCAGCAGGACAGGTCTTCCTATCTCACTCCCAGAACAAAATCGAGTTGGGCTAAGTACTGCTGAGCCATTCACAGGAACTTTGTATTCTATGACTAAATACAAAGCTTCCTATGATTGGCTGAGGCAGAGATTGTGATATCATCTGCCCACCTTTCCACCTCAGCCAATCACTGGAAGGTTTTTTATTCATTCATAGAATACAAAGCTCCCTGTGAATAAATGAGCAGTGCTTAGCCCAACTCGATTTTGTTCCGGGAGTGGGGCAGGAAGTTCCCATCTTGCTGCCAAAACACTGTGCTTTATACTGTATGTAACTGAGGCCAAATACAGTATATACAGTGCACACAACCACTGCATCTGTTGATGAAAGATATTTGGACCAGCTTAGTCCAAAGGAAAGATTTCAACAGAGTTGGAGGATTGATACTTGTGGAGTAGGTCTCTCCTTTACTAAAACAATTATAGCAGAAATGGATCATACAAATTAAAATCTGGTGTGGTGGATCTTATATTAATTAACATAATACACCATGGATCTCACAAAGTGAATGACAGACTTTAGCTAGGTGTATAAAACAAGGTTTCTAAAATCAATGTTATAAAGGCAATTTTATGTGCAATTTTCAGAACTAAGTATGAAGAAAACTGATTAGAAAGAAAACTGATTAGAAAGAGAAGAAGCTACATAGTATGAAATCAAGGTAGAAAAAGGTTTATTATATCTGCCTACACCAAATATCTGTAGAGAGACATTCAGCTGCTTCAAATTCTATGTATTTTGTTTTGTCAGTTACCTCCAATGGGACCTGAAATAAGCTGCACATACTGTACAGTAATTGCATTCTGTTTAAGTCCAGAACACGTGTAGCAATTCACTATGACCTTTTCTTGTACATGGATGCCCTTGACACTGACATTATACAGCAGATTGACCCCCCACTCCTTTGTTTCCTTCCTAATAGTACATTAACCTTTAACTATCTCGAATGATATGCTAACACAAAATGACAGATGAGTGACACACAAACTAAATGGATATAATGATTATGAGGTGTAAATGTGGCAATTGTTTTTTATGCTTTTCTTCCTAAACTCAAGCTCATTTTGATTCATGTAAAAAAATTGTGTGTTTTTACAGAAAAGGTAAAAAAGGGAATTGGTCAGATTTTTAAAGCATCCTTATATGTCCCTGTTACTAGGAAAATTACCAGACTTTATGGAGGTCAGGCACCATTATTTTCCAACACTTTATATCAGTGAGCTCCCCTGCTTTCCCAGTTAGCTCTTGGAACCACAAAATAGTTGAGCAACATTGGGGCTTTTTAGCAAAATCTGTAACTTTTGAGTGAATTCTTAGAAAATGCAGTCACAATGCGCAGGGCTCTTCAAACTATGGCCCTCCAGCTGTTAAAGTACTACAAGTTCCATCATGCCTCTGCCTCTTGGAGTCTTGCCTGTGGCTGTCAGAGTCATGCAAGGTCTCATGGGACTTGCAGTTCCCTCACACCTGGAGGGCTATTGTTTGAAGACCCCTGCATTATAGCATAGCTTGAGAACTAGGAAAACAACGAGAGTCCATAAAATATTTTCAAAATTTGTATCTTAATTGGATAGATTTTTTAAAGTTTAAATTCTTTTAAAAAGTTGCTGAATTCTATACACATTTTTAAAACACCTGTAAATAATGGTTCACAGTTATTTCATAAACTCTTAATGTAGATCTCTATATTTTATTATAGAAACAAGGTTACAGTAATTATATGTTAATGGCATTTTATTATGTTTCATTTTAATTTAAATTGCAGTGTTTTTTTTTTTTAGTTTTTAAGTATTGATATATTGAATACATAATCTTGGATGGTCTATTATCAATGTCCCCTATCAACTCCTTCCTTTTCTTGCATTCTTGCCTTTCCCTGTGGCCTAAGCCTGTGACTCCAGGTTAAACTCATCATTTACTCCAAGACTACTTTATGTCTACAATCTCTTGAACCTACCCAGTTTCAAGCACAGTTTTCAAGTTTACAAATATGGGCCTACCCCTAAGCCAAAGTAAATTTTAAAAAATATTGTTTAATAAGGTGTGTAAGATGGGGACATGCATTTATTTCTACAAAAAACGTTTAAGATAAAGGGAATATCTTTTAATATCATTCTTTTAATAAATTAATTTTAAGATAAACTCAAGGAATTCATCTACTTTGTAAAAAGTGCAGACCCTTTTTGAGTTAAGTCCAACAAGACGCATACCATCTCCTGGACTTAGCTCTATTATTTACATTTGACAGCTTTATGGCTCTGCTGAGGATACTCTCTATGCGAGAAGAGAAGCTCACAGAGCAGCTATGTCCAACCCTTCCCTCTGTTGCCCATTAACAGAAACCTTTGTATTTTGTGAATGTATTTACATAATGCAAACGCTTCTGGGATTGAGCAAAAAGAGTGGGACGGGCACAGCAGTTGTAGTGACTGTACTGTCAAATATACTGAGACCAGAAGGTTCAGCATCAGATTAAGAGAACTATATTGAAAGCTGACTTCTGGGAGTTCTTTAAACCTGCCAGATAAAAATAAAAAAGATAAATTCAAGAGGTGCCATGCTCCTTGTTGGAATTAACTCATAGTGTGCCTTCACTTTTTAAACAGGAGCTGAATTCCTGAAATTCATCTTTAATGTTTTAACAGATTATTGTGTTTAAAGTAGAATTAAAAGCAAAACATTTATTTCTATTTTGAATAATGTAAAGCTGGGTTATAATTTACTGTCCCATAGCCAATGTAGGAAGTGAGAGGAAATCCCTCCAAAGTGAGGGAATCCCTTGTTGTCACCAGGGTCACCAGACCTAGTGTCTGCATTGAATACTTCCTTCTATTTCTATTATGTTGACAACTCAAAATGTGGTATTTACTTTCACTTTCAGTGATACCAGTTAACAGGATAAATAGAGAGATTGAATCTTGGAGGGGCATGGCTGGTGCACAAACAGAATACATGCTTCAGCTCTGAGCTCCAAACCCCAAGAGTACTAGACCAACATTGCAGCATCCCGGAGCATCCAGTTTGCTCCAGATAAATTGACAGGTTATAAAATTCTCTAACTGGGATACAGACAGCAGTAAATACCTGATATGTGTTCTAATACCTTTCTGCTCTATCCAAAACTGAGAATGTGTTTTGGCCTAAATTATCCTCCTCAGGTGTAAACAGACTAGGTACACCATTGGTTTACAGTGTAACTTCTCTTTGAGTCAAAATTAATAACCCAAGTTGCTGACACTAGCATGCGAACCAAAGCTTGTCCGTGCCATTGATATTCAGTCAGTGCATAAAATGTGAACTTCCAGCCAGATAACTCTAGATTTTAGCGGAAAGAAGCCCAGTAAATCCTTGCTGCCTAAGTACAATTTCCTTTATACACTGTATATTTTCAGCCTTTTCCATAAAACAGTCTTTGACCCAAAATAAACCCATATAACTTTCAAAATGGATTAACGGGATAATAAAAGATTAGGACATTGCATTTATTGATTAGTTATGTAATTATTTCTGAAAGAGGCGCTATAAACTGCAGATAATAGCTTTGTTCCAGTGCGAGCACAAGCATTACAGCATGCTGACTAGGTTTGTACTGTTCTGTGTGCTTTGTTTCAGTGAAAAGGTGAACTTTCCAAAATACTATCTGCTTCTCCCATGATATTAGATTAGAGAATTTCAGCTGATCTTTGAGAAATTATTCCATTCTTTTGCTTGAAAGGGGATGTACAGTGCACAGAGCTAAACCCTTGGACACTTGTACACCTTCCATTCAAGAAATATGAGGGCTGCCATTGCTGACCTTCTTCTGAAAATTCTAGCTGTCCTTTAGTCTGTCTTCAGTACATTTGAGTCACAGATGTGGAATAGGCATGCAGCAAACAAAAATCAGAATTCTTTACCTCTATTTTTGTTCAGCTCAATGGGGGTGATTTCTAGAGAATGTTCTTATAGCAAAGTCAATATGCACTTAACTCAATTAATACGATGAAGCTACGTTGAATGCCTGTTAATTGATTGTCAAGGCAACATATTTTTGTCTTGAATTGGATAGCATTGGGAAGGAGTAGAATGTCTATCTGTCTGTTCTGCTATCCAGGGCCCCATTAAGGAAATTTCCCCCCACTTACTGTTCTTTTGGCACCAGTTTCACATAGGAAGTGAGGAAAAACCTGCAATAAGGACACAGGCAGAAATAAAAATCTGACAGGGGTTCTAGCCTTCTCCTACTCTGCTGAAAAAGTATTTTTATTTTTTTATGCATTTCTGTTGGAGTTTTTCCTTGTCCTCACTTCCTGTTTAATAAACTATTGTCAGCAGGGCAGGTATTGAGGTTACATTTCTCTAGTGGCATATCAGAGAGCAGTAAAATCTTACAGGAGTTATTCTAATCCTTCTCTATCCTATCCAAAACTAAGGAAAATATTTTTTGCTGGACATACAGTTTAACCACTTGAGCTCTGGAAGATTTTACCTCCTTCATGACCAGGCCATTTTTTGCAATACCACACTACGCTACTTTACCTTGTATTTGCGCTGTCAACCCTTTACCCAAATGAAATTTATATAACTTTTTCCCACAAATAGAGCTTTCTGTTTGTGGTATATTATCATCGCTGTTTTTTTTATTTTTTGTGATATAAGCAAAAAAAGAAAATTTTGAAAAAATAAACAAT